ATCTCACCAAGAGAAGCCTAAACCCTCGTGCATACTACTTGCTAGACCAGACTTAGCATTAATTGCACACCTCGATCACTCCTCCCATTAGAGGAACCAGGTCACTTTTACTTTCCGCACCTTTTACTCCTTAAACACGTTCTAACTTGATTGTTGGAGGCGGAACTCCCACCACCTGGAGTCTCCGTTGTTTTGCAGGTACAGGCACACGGATCCAGTCCCGGAATTGTAACTCTCCCGCAGGACATAAAAAAACCCCGAAACACATATCAAATATGTGCCTTACAAAATTATTATTGTCTTTTAATTTGATACATTTGGTATAAATAAAAAATATATAAAATCATCGTCCTTGTCATACGGTTGTACCCCTTCTAATCTTATGATGTTTGTGCGTTTTCCTTGATACATTTTTTTTCTTCTCAACATATGCATAATCATCTTCAACACATTTATTTCATTGTCTTGTGTAATAAAAGATCTAAATAATTTATAGGAAAATGTTAGTAACAATCAAAATATAATATAAACAAAACAAGATAAATAAATAAACATTTACAAAAATAAATTTGAACACATTATCAAAAAATAAACATAGTTCAATATAAGAATGAACAAGTATTGAAATATATATGAACATCTTTCAACATAAAAATTAATTATACTAAAAGTCAAATGAATATCTTCAATACGAGAATGAACAAATATAAAAATTTAATTGAGCATCTTTTAATATAATAAAAAAAATTATTAAAAATTAAAACAAATATCCTTTAATATGAGAATGAACAAGTGTAAAACTAAATGAATATGTTTAGACATATAAAAGTAAATATTATATTAGATTGCAAATGAATATCTTTCTATATGAGGATGAATATGTAATGCAAAGAGAAAGAACATGTATCAAATTTAAATGAACATGTATTAATATGAAAATGATCATAAATGAACATGAATTCCATTTAAAATGATTTTTTTCCATCTAAAACGAACATTTACGATAGATTAAAATTTACTAGCCAAAATTCGTCAAATAACAGTTTTTAGTGACAAAATAAGTAATATTAAATGATAATTGATGGTTCAATTTCATTACTCAAATTGATAATTTGTCTTTAAGTTTAGTTATTATGATTTGAAATTTTTTTTTTTGGCAATTATAATTTGAATATTAATCCTTTTACAAATGAACATAAAGTTCATCTAAAATGAATATTTACGATAGATTAAATATACTAGCCAAAATTCACTGAATAACAGTTTTAATTAAATTATGTTATAATTATGGAAAATTCTTATAACATAATTCAATTATTATTATAATAATCACTTCAATTAAAACTATGAGAAATCACAAACTCTAATTGAAAGTTCCTACAACCTCCGTTACATATTAGTTGCAAATTTAGGATATTATTTGTGAGACATAAAATATTCCAAAGTTGCAACTAATATGTAACGGAGGTAGTATTAAATCTGTGAAGAATTCTAATGATTATCTTTTTATATGGGAATGACCATATATTAATATATAAATAAAAATTTACCAAAATGAAAATGAACATTCAAATATAAATAAAATTAAAAAAAAAAAACACTACAAACTAAATTTACATTTCTATATTCGTACAAAATAGATCAAATTGTCCATTAAATTAGGGCAATTGAACTCTTATTTTAACCCTTTTTTCTTATTATTATTTTTTTGTCTAGTAATTTTATAAGCTAATAAGACAGTACACACTACAAGTTAAATCAACTTAAAATAGAGTATACCAAACATCATTATACTATAATAATAAGAATCATTATTATGATAAAATTATAAGAAATCATGAGCTTCTACTACTAAAATTTCATATTATTGAAGAATAAGGAAAATAAAAAGTTAGTGTTTGAACTTTTTTTCGAAAAATAAACTAAATCATCAACTTTTAATTTGATTGTTGGTTGTTCTTTTGTAGAAATTTTCTTCGATTTCTCGATTTCGTCTCTTACATCTAATGTTTTAGTAGAGATATAAGAGAATTTTAATTGCTTTTTAAAGACAAATTTGGAAAGATTTTGGTAGTTTAGGAAAGAGAAAATGAAAAGAAAAAGTGATAAAATTACGAGGAGAGAGAAATTTTAAATATTAGTAAAATTACGATAGAATCTGATTTATATGAGGAGGAAATTTTTTTTTTTTTTTTTTGGTAAGTAAGCAAGATTTTATTATTTTCCAAAATCAGATATACAACTTGCCCCCGAAGGTAAACGATGCAGGCTAAAGAGCCTTAACAAGTAACAACTATACAACCAACTATGCAACTATATAGTAAGGCCCTCAAGCCATACCCTATTTTTTACACTTAATCTTTTACCTCCTATAACTAAGAACCTATATCTTACACTATATTTAATAAGCTGTACAATATTAGGGATGTTCACAACTTTCCTCTCCTAGTATGCTATATTCCTGACTCTCCAAATCTGGTACATGACTGCTAGAATGCAAGCTGTCACCAAAGTCTTCTAAAAAAAATCAAAACTCATTCAAGTATGATACAGATGGCATAAGGCGCCGGTTAACAATCAACATACGTCTGCTCCACATTGTGCTTTAGACACAGGCGGAAAGGAACGCCTTGTCCTTTAGCCAGTCCGGGTGAGGGACCTAGTTTTTTGGGACAATGACTTCTGTCCCATCATCCAAAGGCAAAAAGGTCATTTTGAAGAGACCCGGCTCCATTATTTGATCCCAAGCCTCTACCGGTACTTTGGGAAGGGCGCACTTCTTTCCAAGGAGAGCCGGGTGTGTGTTGTAGCGACGCAGCCGGTGGTTTAGTTGTAGCGAGGGGGAAAAACCATGTAAAACTTGCTCTTCCAACTGCTCCACTTAGACGGCTTATCAAGCGTCATCATAAATTCCGGGTGCGTGGTCAGTGTATACCACGCATTCCAGCCGCCTAGGGCACGGCTGAGGTAGTGCATATGTGCAAACGCCTCCCAGCTAGGCGTTATGTCCTCCATCTCACAGGCGGCTACGTATCTTAATATATTCAGCCAAGAGTTGGGTGTTAGCTGCCAGACGCCAAGTTCGTAACCCCTTAGAATGGCTTTTATTGTGTTATGGAGGGGGAACCGGAGGCCGGCCTTGAACGCCGCCTCGTAACATCCGAAATAATCATCTGCATGATCTAGGTCGTCATCCCAGACGACGGATGCCTCTACAGGCGGCATAACAATCTCCCAACCCTTCCCAACCGGGCGCTTATCTAAAAATGCGAGAAGGGTGGCATTTAGAGTGACCACATCCCGGGTGGTCATGTGCGCCTCTGTTGGATTGTTGATAAAGGGCCACTTATATGCCTCCTCATCCTCTTGAGGGGCATCCAGTTCCATGGTTGACTCAGTAGAGTCCAATTGCTGGACGGTCTCTTCGCTGTCTGTACTCTCGGATTCTTCCAAGATATCATCTCCGGGCGTGCTAGAGTTGCCCGGCTGGTCATAAGGTACAAAGTCATCCGGAACTTCTGCTGAGCCGTCTGACTGGTATTTGGGGTCTACAGCCGTCCGTCTCGTCCGAGCCATTCTGTCCTGCACATGAACATAGACGGTCGGATTGGCAGAAGAGTAAGGGTGGTAAACACCCCTAGACGGCATCCCCAATCCTAGACTCAGCCGTATCCGGTGAACGGCTGACAATTGTCCTAGGCCGTGTCGTATGTGTGTTGGGTGAGTCCATTATTCTTTACAAGCTATAAAACCGGAAAAGGCGCAAAAAATTTGCAGGGGTAGAGACGATACCTTAAAGTTGTAAAAAGTCTGAAAACGGTTGACTCCTTGAAGTCAGCAGCCAGAAATCCTTTTTGTTGCTTGATGATACCCCAGACGGTATCTCGGATGTACCCCCTTGAAGAGCAACTGAATTTCACTAAAGACCCAGACGTTTCTCTGGAAATTTGCTTGAAGATACCCCAGACGGTTGTGACCGGCTGTGGGAGTATTGAAAGCTAGGGAAAATAAAAGGGTAATCAGGCGAGTTGAAGAAAGTGGCTTAAAGATGCCCTAGACGGTTGTGGCCGGCTGTGGGTATATTGAGAGAAAAGGGAAGAAATTTGGCTATGGTGAGGCGGTATCCAAGAGTTTTGAGCAAAGGACACTCAGACGGAAGCCGGATGAGTGAAAGATGGGAAGTTTTTGCAAATAAGAGCAGCCGGCATCAGAGATTTTCTCTCAGAAAGTTTTTGAAAATTTGCAAAGTGTTGAAAATATGGGTGAGGGTTTCTATTTATAAGAGAACCCAGAATGCGAACCGTCACCTTCCTATTTCAAATTTAAATTCGAATTCGAATTAAAAAAAAATAAAGAGAGAGAGAGAAGGAGACGAAGCGTCGCCTTCTCAGAGCGTCACACCTGTCACAGGTGCCACATGGCAAGCCACGTCACACCTGTGAGGGAAAATGTTTAGGGTAAAAATACCTTGCCCACGTGGCCCAATAGCATGCTGACACATATCAGCCTCAGAGAGGCCCAAGGGGATCCAACCCTTTGCTGACACGTGGCGCCTAAACCCTAAAAGGGGAACTGATCCCCTTCCACTATAAATAAAGGAAAATCCTCATTTATTACACATCCATAAATACATACACAAAAACCGAGCAATATTAATTGCAGAATTCTCTCTGAATCAGAGAGAAAAACCTTTACATTCCGCACTTTTATACATCCGGAAACGTTCTAACTTGATCGTCGGAGGCGGAACTCCACCCAACCAGAGTTTTCGTGGTTTTGCAGGTACAGACAATCACGCGCATTCTTGGAGTTGTAACTCTCCAGAGGGACTCTAAAAACCCCGAAACACCTACACTAGGGTAGCTATTAGTAATTGCTACTTCAGCGCTTCTTTCATTTACCTTAGACTTAATTAATTTGTCATACATTTACATTTTTCTTTTTTTGGTAAGTAAGATTTTATACCAAAAAGAGGAGGGCAAGTCCTCAAAACTCCAAAACTACATAGTCTGAAGACCAAACAACACACCACAGCCAAAGCCTACAAGCCAGGCAAAGACACAATAAAACAGAAACAGATAGAGAAAAAAAAACAAGGCAAACAACAAGAAACTATCTAGGGCTATATAACCATTTACACTGAGCTCGAGACCATGATTTGCTGATCAATTGATGACATTTGTCCATAATCTCTAATCTCACCTTCTTGCACAAAACCCGAGGATGAATCACAACACCATTCCAATAAGCCTCATTCCTGGCCATCCAGATGTGATACGGGACAGTAGTTAAAGTAGCAAGAGTAGTCTTCTTCTCAACAATATCTGTGCATCTTCTCTTCCAATGTTTCCAGGCAGTAGCAATACTGAAATGCCCAGACTCAAAACCCAGCCAAGAACATAAGCTTTTCAAGCACCACTGACTATAATTACAGTAAAAAAACAAGTGACTATTACTTTCAGGAACAACACCACTGAGAAGACATAAGTCACTATCACACAAACAAAATTGCAGCAGTTTATCCCTGGTTCTGAGTCTATTATGCACAGCTAACCACACAATGAAAGCATGCTTGGGAATATTGAATATATTCCATATCCACTGTGTCCAGTTCACTCTCTGTAAACTGCCCTGTAACCAAGTATAACCATCAGCAATAGTATACTGTTTTTCCCTCCATTGCTCACCAGTAAACCCCTCCTTCATTTCTTCCTTCACCTTACAAATTCTCTTCCATTTCCATCCTGAACCCTTACTTGGAGAATATTGCCACCATTCCCTTCCTTTTACATACACACCATGCGCCCAACGCACCCATAAAGAATCAGACTTATGTAATACTCTCCAAACATACTTCCCTATGGCTGCTTTATTCCACAAATAACAATTCCTAATTCCCAGACCGCCAACCTATTTAGAATACCACACCCATTCCCATGTAATAGGAGGAGCTTTAGAGAGAGAAACAGACCCGTCCCACAAGAAAGCACGACAAAGCTTATTAATTCTATCAATAACCCCTTTAGGAAGAAGTAAACACTGAGCCCAATACGAATGAAAGCTAATTAGGACTGAATTAATAAGAATAACCCTAGCAGCATAAGAGAGACTTCTACTAGTCCAGCAGGTGATGTTTGCCATCATTTTATCAACTAACACATCAAAATCAACAATTCTAAGGTAAGTGGAATTAAGTGCTATTCCCAAATATCTAAAAGGGAACTTACCTTCAACAAAACCAAACACAGAAAGAATTTCAGCTTTTAAATCCTCATCAAAATTGCGATAATAAATTGTTGTTTTGTCTTGATTAGCTTGCAGCCCAGAAACTTTATGAAACATCTTAAGAGCCTTTACCAGGAGCATAATAATCTTCTTATTACCAGCCCCAAAAAGCATTAAATCATCAGCAAAAACAAGATGATTAAGCTTTAAAGATCTACACCTCATATGAAACTTGAAATCTTTCTTCTCACCAATTTTCCTTAGAAGTCTGGTAAGATACTCCATACTGATGACAAAGAGAAGGGGGGACATAGGATCTCCCTGTCTGATTCCCTTGGCCCCCTTAAAGAAACCACTTAGACCACCATTAATCATAATAGAGAAGGAAGGAGAAGAGACACAAACCATCACCCACTACACAAAAATCTCAGGAAAGCCCAAAGCCACAAGCATTCTCTCAATAAACTTTCAGCTTAAGGAATCATAGGCCTTTCTCAAGTCCAACTTAACGGTACACCTAGGTGTGTTCTTTTATTGTTATAATCTTTCTAAAGATCCTGACAGACCATGTTATTATCCATAATGGATCTTCCAGCTACAAAGGCCCCTTGTCCATCACTAATCAACCCAGGTAAGACCTCTTTAAGCCTACCACAAATCAACTTTGATGTAATTTTGTAAAACACATTGCAACAAGCTATTGGCCGAAATTGAGTTACATTCACAGCATTAGCAGTCTTAGGAATCAAGGTCAAAGTAGTAGTGTTGATTTGCTTTAACAGCTTACCTTGAGCATAAAAATCCATAACAGCATTACATAGATCATCCTTTACAATCTGCCAAGCCACCTTAAAAAACTTACTAGTATAACCATCAGGTCCCGGGGATTTGTCCTCATCAATACTCCATAATGCACTCTTGATATCAGCCTCTGAAAAAGATCAACAGAGCCCAACCTTTTGATTCTTAGGCAGAACAAGGCCAACAGTAATAACAGTGGGGTGAATGTCCTTAACCTGTCCCTGATCAATACCTAACAGACCCTTATAATAACTAACAAAAGCATTAGCTACACTGTTAGGATCCATTATAACATCACCAGAATCATTTACAATACTACAAATTTTGTTAGTAACTCTTCTCTTTCTCAAACAGGAGTAAAAGTAAGAAGAATTGAAGTCACCTTAATTCCTTAAGCCATTTCACTTTAGCTTTCTGTTTCAGAAAATCATATCTAGCTTTGTGAGCCTCACTATACCTCATCCTAGCCACAAGTTCATCCCTGATAAGGTTATCATTCCTCGGATCTTTATTCAACTGTTTCTGAATCCTAGAAAGTTCCTTCTGAGCAGCAATATCAGTACTCTCCACATCAGAAAAATATTTCAGGTTAACTTCTTTAAGACTCTTTTTCAGATCCTTCAACTCCTGAGTCATAATAAACATAGCAGTACCTTGCACCCCTCTATTCCAATTATTCCTAACTATATCAAGAAAACCAGGAGCCTCTGTCCACATATTAAAAAACCAGAAAGGTTTCTTAATAATCCCACAAACATCAAAAAGTCTCATACAACATGGGCTGTGATTCATAAGTCCCTCTGGTAAGAAATCAGCAGAGAAATGCTTGAAATCATCCACCCATTCACCATTGACCACAACCTTATCAATATTAGAACAAACTTTATTCTCTCCATCTTGTTTGTTATTCCACGTATAAAACAAACTGCCAGTTTTGAAGTCTATCAACCCATTAAGTCTCAAACACCTCCCAAAATCCTCAACCTCATCCAAAGTACAAGCCGAGCCAAATCTATCTTCAAGATTAAGGACATTATTAAAGTTCCCTTAAACAATCCAGGGTCTTTTAACCTTCTCAGCAATAGAAATGATCTGATTCCACATAGTCACCCTGTCATTCTCCCTATTCATCCCATAAACAGCAGTCATCCAAGAAGAAACATTCAGTGCTCTATGTGTAACCTTTGTATGAATCAATTGAACTTCAATACTCAAAATCTAAACCTCATACTTACTCGAATTTCATATAATCCAAATTCTCCCAGTAGAGTGCTTGGAGTAATTAGCAGCTACAGACCAGTCAGACCCAAAATTAGCAAAGACCCTCCCAGAGTTCTTACTCTTAACCTTAGTTTCAAGAAGACTAAAGAGACCCATGTGGTGTTATCTGAGAAACCACAGGATACACTAGTAGAAAAAAGAAAATAGGCACCGCACTTTTGGCACCGGTGGGAAAGAATTGGGCGAGATTGGGAATACAGACTTTTGGCACCGGTTAACCGGTGCCAATTAAAAAAAGGAAAAGAAAAAAAAAAAGAGAACACCGTTGGGATTTGGCACCGGTTCAAGCCAAACCGGTGCCAAATCATATTTTATAAAAGAAAAAAACGGGCTTCTTATACTCCCTCAGCCCCTCTCTCTCTCATCAACCCTTATTATATTTTGATCTCTCAGCTCGTTCTCTCTCATCTCTCATCTCCCTCATCCCTCATCTCTCGAATCTCTGCTCGTTCTCAGATCTCTCATCTTCTTCCTCATCTGTTCTCTCGTCATCTTCTTCCTCATCTGTTCTCTCTTCCTCATCTGTCGACGTTTCGAAACCGTCGCCGCCGCCGTTCATGCAACCATCAGCCCCCGCCGTTCATGCAATCATAAGCTGTCGTTCTTCTCTCCGTTAATTATTAGAAAATAAAAAATTTCAGGTTAGGGTTTCTGGTTTCTTTAGTTTTGCATTTTGGTTCAATTATTTTATGTAAAATTGCCATGATTCTGGGTTTTTTCCGTTAATTATTCAAGTTCTCTCCGTCAAGTATTAGAAAATCAAAATTTTTTGTGTTTTTTTTGTTCAAAGTTTCTGGATTTTTCTAGGTTAAAAATTTCTGGGTTTTGTGGGGTTTTTTCGGGTTTTTATGGTTTTTATAGGTGTCTTGGATTATTAGGTTTTTTTTGGTTTTTTTTTCTGGGTTTTTCGTTCAGGATTTCTTTCAATTTTTCTGGGTTTTTTTTTTGTTTCTTTTGGATGTCTCATTCTTCTTTCTCATTTCTTCTCTGGTTTTTGGTTTTATTAATTTTGGTGTTTTATGATGCAGGTAGTATTATTACTTAAAAAAAATTACGAGGATTCCACATAGAAGAAGCTACGGATTCAAGATTCGATTAACATGTTTTGTTGTTCATTGTTAGCGTGATTTTTTTTTTTAATTGTAAAATAACAATTAATTTGATGAATATATATGTGTGTGATTAATGAATGATACAATTTGGTGTTTTTTTTTGAGGGATTTTTGGTGTTTTGTAATTCATTGCATTATTGTTTGAGGGAAAAAGACGCAACGTTTTTTTTTTGAAGGTGTAATTGGTACCGGTTAACCGGTGCCAATTCTAGTTAAAACCAAGAAAAAAAAATTGCAGGACTCACTTTTAGCACCGGATAACCGGTGCCAAAGATGGTATTTCGCACCGGTTAATCGGTGCCAAATCTTTGAATTGCCACCGGTTTTGAACCGGTGCCAAATCTTCAGAGATTTGGCATCCCTCAAATATCCAACGGTTCAAAACCGTTGCCAAAGAGGGGGTTTGAACCGGTGTCTATTTGCCTTTTTTGCCTACTGATACATTTACATTCAACTAGGCTTTTGGCCTGTACGACATATGGGCTTATTATTAGTGTTTCCGTTTTTGAATTGTGTGATTTTGAATATTAAGTGTTATATGTATTTTAAAAGGAAAAATGAGGTAAAACACTTTAGAGCATGTAGTGTATTATTAAAATTGCATTAAGAGATGAGTGGGTAAATACCAATAAATCATCATGGGTGTAATTTGTATCCGAAAACATGATTAAAGAAATTAAATTTTTGGGATTTTAGTTCAAAATGAGGCTTGAAAAAAAGAGGGTGGAGGGACTAAAATTGAAGAGAGAAAAGGAAAAGAGTGAATTGAAGAGGGGGAGATGAAAATGAAGTGTGCTTGAGAGATGAATTACAATTGGTTTGGATTAGTGGGTATCTGTAAAAAAAATATAAGTTTAATGAAAGAGTTAAGAAAGATAGTGTAATAAATTATTTAAAATGTACGAAAACACGTGGCACATTATGTTGGAAAAGAAAGATGGGGATTGAAGTGTAGTAGGATGGGGACATGTGTCTTTCTCAGTTTCAGTTTTTAAATTTTCGATATAGTTTATCATTTCTCAGCCTTTCTTTTACTTTTTTTTATAGGATATTATACCGTATCGCCTTGTGTTTTATGCGTTTTTCTTATATAACCCTGACTTTTTCACTATTGCTTGACGTAACCTTAAACTTGTAAAAACTCATTAAATTGGATGGAAAACATAACAATGTTAATTAATTTCATTATTTTTAAACTAAATTTGTAAAAATAAAAAGAAAAGGAAAAATAAGTAACTCCTTTTAATCTTCATAGCTAACTCTTCATTCCTTTTCTTAATACAAATTTAGTTCATTCCTATATTTTTTTTTAAAAAATTTTACTTTACATATATATTTTTTGATTTGATGTTTAATTTGAGTGGATGATGTGGGATGGTAAATGTTATGTTTCAAGTTGGATTTTTAAATTGTAAGGGCGTTAAAATTTTAGGTTGGGTTCAATTTTGAAAGTTATTTGAATTGAAATTAGAGCTTGGTTGATGTTGCCTTTCTTCATTGTACTCAGTCTTGAAATTGAGGATATAGAATAGTAGAAGAAGAAGAATATGGGGGAGGAGAAGGATATATATATATATGTATATATATATATATATATATATATATATATATATATATATATATATATATATATATATATATATATATATATTGCTTTTACCCCCATTATTGAGAAAGATAGTGTAAGTTCAGCTAATGAGATTGAATTGAAGAGATCGAAAAAAGTGAAACAATTAACGATGTTAGTTTTTTCATCCAATTTGATGTTTTGTAAGTTTAAGGTTACTTCAGGAAGTAGTGACAAAAATAGGGTTACATCAGAAAATCACATAAAATACATGGTTACATGGCATAATTTCCCTTTTTTTAAGCTCATCACTAGTGTGTGACCTGGGCTTTGCTTCAGGTGCTACTTTGATTAATTTTATATTTTTTAGGCTGGTTTAGAAGATTCATTAATATTATTATTGTGAATAATTATATTAATTATTTTTTTAGATATTTTTTTTCCTTTATTCAACATTACAATATAGTTATATAGGCCTTACAATATATATTTGTGTGGATTAATAGAGCATGTGCATGATTTTTTCTAGCTAAGATGGTATTGAGGCAAATATTGTTCTTTGCCAACAGGTCAAATACCCTTTGTTGTTCAAGGGTATTAAGGGGTTGCCCCTCTTGTTACTGGTTTTAAAAGATTGATAACCTCGCTAATGTAACAAAAGAAACAATAAAGAAGTTTTTCCAAAAAAATTAAACAAATTAGATTGCTTAAAGAAATGAGTAGATACACATATGACAAAAGATGCAAATGCTCTCCATTAATTGAAAGATAAAGTCAGGTCTACAATTGTACAAGTTGAAGGAAAGGTTACCTTCATGTTCATACAATTGAAAAAGATAGTTGATCTTTAATACATGCTAAGAAACTAAACTATCGCTTGGCTACTAAGCCAAGGGAAAACGAAGGAAGCTAAGAAGAAAGCTTACAGAAAATGAAATGCTTGTTGGTGATTGATTTGCTGATACCTTCATTTGGTTTCTTCACTTCTATATATAGGCAAACTTAGAATGGTTTTTTGATGACTCCAAGTTATTCTTCTTGGCGCCAACTCTTCTTTTAAAATCAAAATGTCTTGTTTGCCTGCAAACCGGTTGCTCCCCTTCTTGGGCCTTTTTACTAAGTTCAGCCCATTCCATTTTACTCCCATTGTTTGACCAAAACCCTTACTATAATTCTAAAGTCCATTTCCCTTGGTCAACAGATCAAAGTCAAGAAAAGTCAAAAATTTTAATTTTGGTTGTAACAAATGCCCCCCTAATTTGGATGGTAGATGGCGTTTGAAACCAAACAAATTATGACTTATCTAGTAAAACAAAAAAAAAAAAAAAAGTTTTGCGTATGTCTCAATGCCAATAGAAATAACATAAAGCATTAAACATTAACCTCATTATATATATATATATATATATATATATATATATATATAGACATACGCAAAACTTCTTTTTTTATGTTTTAATATATATATATATATATATATATATATATATATATATATATATATATATATATATATATATATATATATATATATATATATATATATATATATATAATTTTAAAACATTACAAAAGAAGAGCATTTAAAAATATTGTAGTTTCGAATTGTGTATGTATGCTCTTGAAAGTTAAGGATAAATATATACATTAACATATTAATTGTGTTGCCCCTAGTACCCTAGATCATCCTTGATCATCGCCAACGCCCTCTTTAGACCGGGCTCTCGAGATACGCTTCAAAATTTCAGTTGTCAATTGGATCCATCAGCTCCTAATTTACTTTATTATGACAGGAAATTGAGTCATCCAAGCACTCACATGCACACCAATACCTTAGGACATAGACATTATAATGCTTACCACAACAAACAACTAATCGCTTCATTAGTAGTTTGTCCCAAGTAGGAGGAAATACGGCCCTAACTTCCTTTTCCCATCCTTTGCAAACCAGAGCGGTGTTTGGTTTATCATCTTCGTCGATTTTTGGAAGGGTATGATTCTTAAGAAGATCAACATTTGCCCCTATGTCAAAGGCGTTGGCGATAGCAAGAACCTCTGGGTCTTTTGATATTACTGGCCTTTATCCCTATCGCTTGTTGACCCTTCTGTTCAACACACCTCTCTTCCTCTTCTTATAGTTCCGTATCCACTTAGAATATCTGTTGATGGCCAAATGATGGTTTGGTCATACACCTGGATACTTTAAGGAACCGAATGGCTTCATCAAATAGTCAGGGTTATTCAGCGCCGAAAAAGGTGCTGGGTAAAGTTGATTGCTTCATCCTAAACTTGATGCTCTTGGTCATTTTCTTGGATTTCTTCACCATTATCGTTAACATTTGGGAATTTTATGGGAGCCAAATCTTCATCCATTGGGTAGTATTTTGATGGAAGAGAATATGAGCATTTGAAAATAGAAAGAAAAGTTATGACAGTTGATTTTAGAGAGAGAAAGTAGCTTTGAATTGGCCTATTGGTGAAGGAAATTAAGTGAAATGACTACAAATATTTATAGCCACTTTTGAGTCACTCTTGACGGTTTATGTACTCTGTGAAGTTAAAATGTCGTGGTGAAACCACGTACCTCTCCACATTCAACACGTCGTTATTTGTCCTTCCAACTTCCCAATTTAGGGGGATGCATTTTCACTAAACCATCACGAAACTTCCTTGATAATATAACTTCCAAGTTAAATAATAATTACTAAATATTTAATATTATATTGGCAACTGGAAGTGTCTTTTCAATTAAATGTCAATAAATATTATTGTCTGCACTTGGTAAACCATGACAATAATTATGCTTAATACCAATGTATTATAATTTAATATTTAATAATAATAATATATTTGTGTGGGTAATATAGAAATAAAATCAAATGCATCACTTGATCATTTACAAAAATATTCTATAATTGCATTAGATAAAGATATATGTTGATCAAAGGACCACCTATTGAACAAAATAAAGGCAAACTTTGTACAGAGTTAAGACATGATTCCAAAAACATGTTAGTGAAACTTATAAGTAGTACATCATGTTTGTGTCCTTAATCCATTCTTCAAAAGACAATCAATTAAGATAAAAGTAAACAAAACAGACAAACCCTAGCCTTAGTTAATCCCACCAATAATTAGGGCTTTTGGGGCTTCTTGGCTTTGGTTGATATTGGCCAGAAGATGCATAGATGCCTCCTTGCTCAATAAGCACCATTCTTCCCAAACTCCTTGGTGGTGATCTTCTTGCCCTCTTTTGTCGCCTTTTCACAACAGGTTCATCCTCATCTCTCTAGCGTCGGAGATTCCTCCTCCTCCTACCAGGTGGTACATCCTCGTCCTCTTTAGGATCATGATCAGGATACCCATGACCTACTCTCTGTTGGCGCTGGCGCTCAACCTCCATTGCATGGGCCACTTCTTCTTCCTCCTTGTGCCATCTGTCAAGCTCTTGGCGTTCTTTTTCCTCCAAACGATGCCTCTCTTTCTCCTTGCGCTCTAGAGGCAACTTCGCAAGTTGTTGGTTAACCTTGTTCCAGTTGATCTTTTTCTGCCCCTTTCAATGAGACTCAACAGTGCTTGAAATTGAATCCTCCATTGTAGAGTAGAAAGAGTCTTTTGGAGAGCTTGTTAAAGTAAACTCTTCAAACAAGAGACTTTTAGATTGAGAGATAGTAGATACACTTTGCGTGTTTATGAGAAGTACTTTATGATCTCAACCTATATTCATAGGTTGAAATAAATGTTTTAGACACTTTGGAATATTTTCATTACTGTAATAATTCCGAAAATTGCCTCAGAAAACCTCTAAAAATTCACGCAAGATGTTACTTTATGAATTTATCGAAGGCCAATATGGTAATTTTATTATTACAATCACCTAATTTGCAATTGTCACACTGAGCCCTTAAATGCGTCGTTTAGGGTTGCGTTTCTCAATCTCAATCTCAATTGAAATCAATCTTCGCTAGACTCTGACAGACCATTTGCTTCGTTTTGTGTATGAAAGAAAATCAAACGCTACAATTTAACTAACTCTTCGACGCTTGGGTAAACTATAAAAGCCTTTTGAAGCGCCCTTCACACAATCTTGTTACCATTCACTCTTTGATCTTCCAATTCTTCAACCCTTAGTTCTTTCAAAACTTTCAAAGTGAAAACATAGTTTCTTATTCTTTGAAAGAAGTACTAGACTCCTTCAGAGTCAAAGAATGTTCAATTGAGGCTCATGAATTATATGAGCTGATTAGAAAATACCCTCAGAACTTTCCTTTGGCATTTCTTGTCTTCCACCACTAGTTTTGGCATCATGAAAGGCACAACCTCTATCGGGCCATCATTGAACTTTGATTTCTCCATACCCGGTGTCAAACAAGAGTTCATGAAGGAAATTCATCCAAAATTAACCAAGTGTATAGTTGGTAAAGGTGCGCCCCACACTGCTGTATTTATTAACCTAAACTCAAACGGCAAGCAGATATTAAGCTAGAATCCAATAAAAGGTTGGGTTCAAGACCTCACAGCCAGGTGTTGGTTTAAATGGCTCTCCAAGTTCCAATCCAAATGGGAGAAGAAGAGAATTCAAAGTTTCCTTAGGCTAGCGACGTATGATAAAATTCCATTAAATGGATCGCTGACGCGTACCTTGATATTGCTATGGGATCTTGTGTTAAATTGCTTCATCCTATGCCAGGGTTTTATGACTATGACCCTTGCTAACATTCCTTTTCTTTATGGTTTGTCCCCTTATAGTGATAAAGACCAGCAAGTTAGAGTTTTCAATGTCATTGAAGGTGCTGACCCTTGTACAAAAGAAGTTATGGTGTTCTATAGAAGATCTATCAACAACATCCAAGAGTAGCAAGGTCGGCTTCAATGCCTTTATCTTATCTAAGGAAGAGGTACTCTTTATCCTATTTGGTCTTACTCGTCTAATGATGCAAATCTGGTGGCATTTCTACATTGTTATTTCCACTTGCTGTGAATATAGTTTACAGTAGTTCCTTTGTAGCTTTAGGTCCAATTTAATTAGGATAATTATAAAGATTTTTGTTTAGGTGTAGGGAGGCCCTCATAGCAGGTCAAAAGTTAGAAAATATTGTGGTCTTTTATGGTTGATTAACTTGTTAGGGTCATCTATATATATACCACTTTGTGCATGGAGAAAACTGAAGAAGAGGTTATGAAAAAGATAGCAGATGAACCAGCTATGTGTTCATCTAGACTTGATTGTAGGGAGAGAACTTTAAAGGTGAACTGTTGTTATTATGCTAAGATTCGCTGCTACTATTTTGATCACCAAAAAGTTCCTGAACCTGAGTTGGTCATGCACTATCTACTGGAGTTAGACCCATTATTTCCTATCAATTGGCATGTTACGAGTCGCAAAGACAACCCAGATAAGGACAGTCTTTGGGTCTTTGATGCTACTCCAGACTGGCTTGAAAATGGGGATAGTAACAACCTTTGAAAGACTCCCCATTCTAGTGTTCAGCTCTAGCTGCCAAAGATTTACCTGCAAGAGAGCCAAAATATTTTGGTTTTGAGGTTTATAACCCTCAAATGGTAGCTAGGCAATTTGGTCTATACCAACCTCTTGCTATTCTATTGATCACCACATGTAACATGCCTTGGGATTCAAGGCCTCTATTCAATGAAGAGGATATTTGGGCTAGTGATTCCCTGGAGTATCCTTTAATAGAACTGCTACCCAGAAAACCATGTGATGTGATCTCATTAAGTTATCTCGAATGGTGGTATCATGGACCACTTCAAGGTCCTACTACAGAAAATGTCAAGGCACACTTTGCTGTGAGTGTGGCTGGCTACAAAGGTATTGCTTCTTCCCATTAATCATTCTAACTTTTATTTCACTCATAATCTACATTATTTCAAGTAGAAAGAAAACTGTTGCGTCTTCAGTCAAAATGAAGAGAAAAGGCGCTCAACATCAAATAAACCGTTCATAAAAAATAAAAATAAAAATAAAAAATAGTTGTAGACTTTAACTATAAGCCCATTGCCATGAATGATTCATAAAGAAGTTTTAACGCCCCGACTTCTCGTAACTTTAATTGGCGTTACTAAACCATACTTAACTCATTATTAGCAGTGGAATTAACCATATAGTAGTGGAAATAATCATAGATAATCTTATAACCTGTGGGTTATGGGGCCACAAATAAACATACTCCTTTATGAGTAACATTCCTTTTAAATAATAAATCTCCAATCTACCTTATTGTAATAAATATAATCTATCTCTCGATAATGTTACACAAAATACATAAGCCTTGATTCCATAATACCTGGATGGACAATATAATTCCTTTAATCACTAGCTCCATCATCATCATTTATGTAAATGTTTATAAAAAATAGAACACAAAGAAAAAACAGGAAAATTCAAAAAATGAGTGGAAAACTGAGTAACATTATATTACTGTAGCCCGTTAAACAATTTTTCTTTCTAAATCTTTTGAACACATGCATATCATACATACATAGTTGTTCATATATAATCTAGTATCATTATTATTGGTCGTCAAGGATCATTCCCTTTACATAGGACCATTGGTAAGTACAAGTATTAGACATAACATAACCTTCATTCATGTGGGATTATAGTCCCCCATTTCAGTAACATACTTTCCTCCACCAATAACTCACCCATTTACCAGGTTCAATTTATTCTCCAATGCCAACAAAAGTAACATCGTATCATATTAAATCATTTCCGAACAACCTTATACCTCATATAAATGCAAAGTACATTAGCACATCTCATAATCATTCGTTCATAACATTTTAATAAAATCATCATGATCATTAAACATTACACTTAACAGGGGTAGGACGTCTCCTACTATCAAGGAGAGCCATTTTTCAGTAATAACAGACCATGTTTACATTTCTTATAAAATTAATGAAATAACAAGAAACACCAATCAATTATATCACCTTGTAAAATAATAAGATATTTGTATAAAAGATCGTACATTTCAGTATATTATAAAACTTATCAATACAATATCCTTGTGTGTTCACATAAAATCATTTAATTAATTTCATGTATTCATAACCTTATGATTAACATGCTAGTTGCTGGCAAGTATGACATGGCAAAACCTCTTCCGCGATGGGCCAGTGCCTATAACATAGAGCCATGTGCTCAACATAATTGAGTTAGTGCCTCATGGGTACATGCATTACATGACAGAAAAATAGTAACCTGTAACATATACTGCCAGACGGACTAGGTCTTTCACTATTATTTATCATGTTGTGTAACTTTTACGTAAGTCATTCACATATTTATAACATACATTCGTGAGATCAGATGATCAATAAAACATTGTATACTTATAAAATCATTCCAATAAAACCATTCATATAAAATCATATGTTTGAAATACGTTAATAAACATATTTATCATCCAACAAGTCATTATAAATAAATCCAAAGATATAAATAACTTTTGAATGTGACAATCATATTTTCATAAATGCATTTTGAAGGGAATTACGGGTGCTAGCAATAGCAAGATCATGTTTACGTTGAATGTGACAATCATATTTTCATAAATGCGTTTTGTTGCTCTTGAATTTCATGGACTTGTTGGGTGAGAAGTTGTAATTGAGCAAGAATTTGGGCATCAATGTTGTTGGGTTGAGGTTCATGACCAAAAGCAAATTGCATATCATCAAAATTAGCACAAACCTCATCACAATGAGCATATAAAGGGGAAGGGTCGTCATGCATATTAGGTTCAACATAGGGAGAATTAGGCACATTAAGGGAATTCATGAAAAGTTAGAAGAATTTTGACAATTTGCATCCAAACTAGAAACATGATCCTTATCATGAGTATCCCTAGAAAACCACACAAAGAAATTCCAAGCATCATCAAAGGACAAAGCACGAAATTCACCATTGTACATATTTTCAACCTATCCCATAGTAAACTTATTCATTCCCCGACAAACAATTTCACATGTGCTTCCCAAAGAGCACACCCATGGTAGCTAAGGAAGCCATCAAGTCTATCAAAGTATGCCCAAAAAGATTCATTTTCACATTGAGGAAAAGACAAACTTGCCATTATTTTTTCAAAAACTAAAGCAAAACAAGAATAAAAAGCAAATAAAAAGAGAAACAATATATACACAAAGAACCTAGCTCATCTAATCAATACAAACTAATGATCGCCTTAATTTTCGGCAACTACGCCATTTTGATAAGAGGTAGGAATTAGGTCGTTGGACTAACCTCCTATTATCAAACACATTTATATCACTCAACTACCTAATGCAAGTATAAGGTCGAACCACAAGGACTAAGGGTATTGAAATGAGTCGATTAAGGCGATAAGCTAGGTTGAGAAGCATATAAAAGAAGGATAAAATAAACTAAGGCAAAGACGAGATTTACAAGAAGAGAAAGACACTAGGAAAGGGGGATCAAAACGCTAATGATGCAATCAATAACCAACAACAATTCAATTAAGACAATGGAATCAAGGGGGTATATTAACTACCTAGGTCACTCCGCGGCACACTAGATGGAAAAACACCCATTATCAACTAGCTTACTCCCGCACAACTAGCCAATAATAGTTATTTGATGAATAACCGCCCTAAACTAGCTCACTTCCGCACAACTAGTCTAGAAACAAATATAATCATGAAATCAATTGGCCAAAGAGACTTCAGTCAATAAATAAATCATCAAATATCTCAATCAATCCAATAATCCCAATCAAACAATCATATTCATTGTCAAACATCACAATCATTCATCACCCACTACCCTAGATTGAAAACCTAGCCTAACATAATAAAATAGCACAAGAAAATCAAGAAAAAACTAGTTAAATATGCAACTAAACAAAGCTTTAATGACAAATGAAAGCAATAAATAAGAGGAGATAAGATAAGAAATGCTCACCAATTGATGAATCTTTCTTCCAATTGCTTTTGTCATTAAACAATCTTCAAAAGCTCCAATCTTTCTTTGATTTTTCTCACTTTCTCTCTCTAAAAATTAAGAACCCTAAAACTATTTTCAAAAAAAAGAGAGAGAATAATAAAATAGAGGCTATCTAATTCTACTCTAATCTAATCTAGGGTGAGTCAAAGGTTTTTTTTTTTTTTTTTTGGTATTAACCCCAAAAGAGGGTATATATACTACAAGCTAATTAAGAGAAGATTAAAAGAAATAGAAATAAAAATAAAAAATAAAATAAGAAAGTAAATAAATAAAGAAAGAAAAAGAAAGTAAAATGAAAGAATAAGAAAAACAAAAAGCCCAGCAAATCCAATCCTCAAACCGACTTCCCTCCTCCTTAATCCTTTTGGCT